CACTGTCGCTCAGGCTGGAATGCAGTGGCACACTCATGGTCACTGCAGCCTTGACCTGCTGGGCTCAGGTGATCTTCCGCCTCAGCCTTCCAAGTAGCTGGAAATACAGGCGTGTGCCACCACGCCTGGCTAGTTTTTTTTATTGATCAGAGCGAAGAGGTCTCGCCATGTCGCCCAGGCTGGTCTCGAACCCATGGGCTCAGGCAGTCCTCTCGCCTCCACCTCCCAAAGTGCTGGAATTACAGACGTGAGCCACCGTGCCCAGTTGCCATGGACATTTCTTGTCTGCCAGCTCTGGTTACACAGTCCCCTCGGTCCAGGCCGGGCACACCCAGCCTGGCAGTGCCTGCCCCGGCTACCTGGGGATGGAAGCGTAGTCGGTGTGGGAGTTGGCAGAGAGCTGCCGGTGCAACTCCGGCTGGGGATCCAGAATGTCCACCCGGTCATCCTCATCCTCGCTGATGCTGGCAGGGCATGGAGTGGGCAGAAGGATGAGCTCTGTGAGGCCGTGGAGGTTGGACGCGTGGCGGAAAGTCTGCAGTACCAGCACCATGGCGACCAGGCCCAGGAAGAGGTAGACTGCAGAGATGGCAGAGGGGCGAGAGGTCCCCCTGGGGCTCAGATCCTCCAGACAGGGCAACGGTTCCACAGGATCCCCCCTGGGTGGGGTTGTGCCCCTTCCTCACCATCCCCCCCCACAGGGGTAGGCCCTCCTCAAACCCTGCCCTCAGGTGCCCGGCTCACCTGTGACCAACACTTTGTAGAGGGCCCGGTAGGGCTGGCCGGGGGCTTCCCCGGGCACGTAATCGCCCAGGCCGATGGTGGACAGAGAGATGAAGCAGAAATAGAAGGCATCCAGGAAGCTCCAGGCCTCCTCCAGGTGGGCAAAGACCGCAGCCGGCACCAGGAAGCAGGTGGTCACTATGACTCCCAGCAGGACCACCAAGTGCCACCGGGCCGCCCGCCGGGGGTCCCAGCCCCAGCGCGTGCTCAGCCAAGACAGAGGTGCGTGTGTGAGTAGCAGCGACAGGCGCTGGGCCGAGGCGGTCAGCAGCAGCATGGTGGTCGGCACACCCAGGAGCGCGAAGGCAATGGAGAAGGCCTTGCCTGCGTCGGTCAGTGGCGTCGTGTACCCGTAGCCTGCGGGAGCAAGGGGGAAGCCCTCTGCACACATGACCCCTCTGCAGAGACATCTCTGGCCACCCTAGGGCATCTGAGAGCTGATTTTGCCCCCAAGCCTGCCTCTTCCACACTGGCCCCGTTCTCAGTGAGGGCACCCCCAGTCCTCTGCGGCAGCTCGCTTTCATCCCCGACTCCCTTGCATGCACCCCGTTCCAGCTGTCAGGGAAGCCTGCTGTCTCTACCCTCACAGAGACCCAGAAGCCACCTGCTTCTCCCCGCCCAGACTCGGGGCTTCCACTCTGGTCCTGTCCACCGCAGCAGCCTCCTTCTGGGTCCTGTTCAGCCAGAAGCCATGAACTCCTGAGTTCAGTCACGCCCTTCCCCTGCTCAGACCCCTCCTGGGGTCTCATCTCACTCCAGTGAGAGGACAAAGACCTCAACACGACCCACGAGGCCCATAGGATCCACCAGAGTTGCACGCTCCCGCCAAAGAGCCTTTGCCCCGACTGTTCTTTCCCTGTGGCATGCCCTTCCCCTGGGATCCACCTTTCCTCTCTCTCCTCTCCTTCAGGTCTTTGTCCAAACGTCACCTTCTCAGTTAGGCCTTCCCTGACCACCTTATTTTATTTTTTTAGTTGGGGTCTCACTCTGTCACCCAGGCTGGAGTGAAGTGGCATGATCATGTCTCACTGCAGCCTCAACCTCCTGGGCTCAGGCAATCCTCCCACCTCAGCCTCCTGAGTAGCTAGAACTACGGGTATGCGCCACCACACCCGGATTACTTTTTGCAAAGAGGTCTCACTATGTTGCCCAGGCGGGTCTTGAACTCCTGGGTTCAAGCAATCTTCTCTCCTCCACCTCCCAAAGTATTGGGATAATAGACATGAACCACCATGCCCAGCCCTTGGTCACCTTATTTTATTTTATTTTTTTTGAGTTGGAGTCTCACTCTGTCACCCAGGCTGGAGTGCAGTGGCACGCTCACAACCACCACAGCCTCAACCTGCTGGGCTCAGGGGATCCTTCCGCCTCAGCCTTCCAAGTAGCTGGAACTACAGGTGCGTGCCACCACATCTGGCTAATTTTTATTTTATTTTTATTTATTGTAGAGACGAGGTATCGCCAAGTTGCCCAGGCTGGTCTTGAACCCCCAGGATCAGGTAATCCTCTTGCCTCGGCCTCCCAAAGTGCTGGGATTACAGGCTTGAGCCACTATACCCCCCCACCTTATTTTAAATTGTAACACTCTTTTTACCCAACTCTTATTATTTTTTCCCATGGCACTTAATATTTATTTAGTATAGAGACGAGGTCTCGACATATTGCCCAGGTTGATTTTGAACCCCTGGGTTCAGGCGATCCTCTCACCTCCGCCTCAGTCTTCTGCATACTATACGGTTTATTTATTTGGCTACCATCTGCTCACTAGGGTGTCAGTTCCAGGAAAGCAGGGGCTTTTGTCTGTTTTGTCACGGCTGTGGGCATTGATCACATGGACACTCAATCAATATTTGTCAAAATAAGGAATGAAGGGTGTAAGCTCTCACCTGGCTCTGAGCCTAAGTTTACTCTATTCTAAAATGGGTATGTTGACTGGACATGGTGGCTCACACCTGCAGTCCCAGCACTTTGGGAGGCGGAGGTAAGAGGATTGCCTGAGCCTGGGGGTTCAAAATCAATCTGGGTAATATGTCAAGACCTCATCTCTATACTAAATAAAAAAAATTAGCCACTATAATTCCAGCTACTTGAGAGGCTGAGGCAGAATGATCACCTGAGCCCAGCAGGTTGAGGCTTGCAGTGGCTGTGAGCATGCCACTGCACTCCAGCTTGGGCGACAGAGTGAGACTCCAACTCAAAAATAAAAATAAAAATAAGCCAGGTGTGGTGACACACACCTGTAGTACTAACTACTCAGAAGACTGAGGCGGAAGGATCACCTGAGCCCAGAAGGTCCAGGTTGTAGTGAGCCGTGATCATGTCACTGCATTTCAGCCTGGGCAACAGAATGAGATCCTGACTCAAAAATAAATAAATAAAATGGGTGTTGCCAAGCTTCACTGGGCTCCCAGAGGACTGTGGGAACACAGTAAGGTCAGTCAGTGTAAATGTGAGTTCTGCAAATGAAAATATGATCAAAGGGAATTCAGGTGTCATTGAGTCTGACTCACTCTGGCAAAGTCTCGTTTAAAATCTCTTTTTTGTTGGAGGCACCCCTCATCAACAAGGGTAACCGCATGGCTGGGCTCAGTGTAATCCCAACACTTTGAGGGGCTGAGGTGAGTGGATTGCCTGAACCCACAGATTTGAAACCAGCTGGGGCAACTTGGCGAGACCTCGCCTCTACAATAAATAAAAAAATTATCTGGGTGTGGTAGCGCACACCTGTAGTTTCAGGCACTTGGAAGGCTGAGGCAGAAGGATCATCTGAGCCCAGCAGGTCAACACTGGGGTGGCCGTGAGTATGTCACTGCACTCTAGTCTGGACGATAGAGTGCGGCTCCACCTCAAAAAAAAAAAAAGGTACCTGCATAATGAACATTTGTATACCTAACCCTGAATTGTACCCCACATCTTTAAAATTAAAGATTAAGCTGGGCTCGGTGGCTCAGCTTGTAATCCCACGCCTTTGGGAGGCTGAGGCGAGTGGATTGCCTGAGCCTGTGGGTTCGAGACCTGCCTGGGCAGCGAGATCTCATCTCTACAATAAATCAAAAAATCACCCGGGCGTGGTAGCACACGCCTGAAATTCCGGCTACTTGGAAGGCTTAGGCGGAAGGATCGCTGGAGCCCAGCAGGTTGAGGCTGTGGTGGCCGGGAGCGGCCACTGCACTCCAGCCTGGGCGACAGAGTGAGACTCCAACTCAAAAAAATAAATAAATAATAAATAAATAAATAAATAAAATTAAAGATTAAAAAATAAAATATTTTTTATTTCCCAAATAAGCTTAACTATAGAGAGATTTGAATGGGGGGGTGAAGGGCCTGGTTTATGTTGACAGTTAAATGTCTTCCCCAAAAGACTACAGATCCAGGCCGTGTTCCAGTCAAGCACGGACATGTTTCACACAGGAGCAGGCATTCGCTGGTGCCTGTTTTTTGTACAGAAGGATCTCTTGCTTTTATATACTCTAAAACAGCAGTCCCCAAGCTTTTTGGCATCAGGGATCAGTTTCATGGAAGACAATTTTACCACGGAACAGGGACGGGGGGATCATCAGGCATTAGATTCTGGTTTTTTGTGTTTTTTTTTTTTTTGAGTTGAAGTCTCACTCTGTCACCCAGACTGGAGTGCAATGGCCGCTCCCGGCCACCGCAGCCTCAACCTGCTGGTCTCCGGCGATCCTTCCACCTCAGCCTTCCAAGTAGCTGGAACTACAGGCGTGCACTACCATGCCTGGCTTATTTTTTTATTTATTGTAGAGATGAGGTCTCGCCAAGTTGCCCAGGCGGGTCTTGAACCCGCGGGTTCAAACACTCCACTCACCTCAGCCTCCCAAGGCGTGGGATTACAGGCTGAGCCACCGAGCCCGGCTGGTTTCTCATAAGAAGCGCAGAACCTAAATCCCTCGCGTGCCAGTTCATAGTAGGGTTTATGCTCCTATGCCGCCAAGGATCTGACAGAACGTAGTGCTCACCTGGCCCTCACCTCCTGCTGTGTGGCCTGGTTCCTAACAGTAGGCCTGGTTCCTACTAGTTTGTGACCCCGGGATATTGGTCTGTGGCCTGGGGGTTGGGGACCCCTGTGCTAAAGAATTGAAAGCAGGGTCTTGAGGAGATGTCTGGACACCATGTTCATAGCAGCATTCACAATAGCTGTAACACAGAAGCAAACCACTGTCCCATCTATGGATAAATGAAAAAACAAGATGTGGTATATCACTCAGCCTTAAAAAGGAAGGACATTCTGACATGTCCCACAACATGGGTAAGCCTTAAAGCCATCATGCTAAGTGAAACAAGCCAGTCACAAAAAGACAAATACTGTACAATTTCACCACATGAGGTAGTCAAATTCAGAGACAGAAAGTAGAATGGTGGTGCACAGGGGCTAGGAGGAATGGAGAAGGGGAGGTTATTGTTTGATGGCTACAGAGTTTCAGTTTTGCAAGATGAAAAGAGTTCTGGAGGTGAAAAATGATGACTAGCTGCACAGTAACATGAATGTACTTGATGCTACTGAACTGTACACTTAAAAATGACTGGCCAGGCGTGGTGGCTCATGCCTGTAATTTTGGGAAGCCGGGGCGGGAGGATCAAAAATCAAAAAAATTATCAGGCGTGGTGGCACGTGCCTGTAGTCCCAGCTACTTGTGAGGCTGAGGCAGAAGGATCACCTGAGTCCAGGAGGTTGAGGCTGAGGTGAGCCAAGATTGTGCCACTGCACCCCAGCCTGGATGACAGAATGACACTCCAATTAAAAAAAAAAAAAAGATGGTAAAAGTTATGTGTATTTTTACCACAATAAAAAAATTGAAGAAATAAAGGATACTCCTGGTTTTTAGCTGGACACCTGGAATAAGGACGGTCTCTCCTCTGCCTTTGCAGCTAGGCATGGCACTGTGACTAACCTCTGGCCAACAAAGTCTACATGAAAGCATCAAGCAACTTTCAGGAAAAGTCCTTAAGGAAAAGAGGCTGCCCATCTTCCTTCTCCCCCATCCCCTCCTGCTGGCTGGAACACAGGCAAGAAAACAGGAGCTGAGCAGCCATCTTGGACCCTAGGTGACCTTGAGGGAGAAAGCTCACAGAGGAGGCTTGGAGGAGCACAGAGGTCTTTGAGAAGGAGCGTGGGTCTGACCGTGCAGCGCAATTCCAGTCTCAGAACGACTATCTTGCATGGGAGTAGGAAATAAACTCCCGTTTTATTTAAGCAACTGTCATTTGAAGTTTGTTACTTAGGATTCCAACCCTCAGGCTTTGATGGAAAAACTCCAGCAGCCTGGCTGGAAGGTCAGGTTTGCAAATGACACAAAATCTGCATCAGAAAAAGCGTAGAGTTTGAATGGAGTGGGGCCTGGGAGCCTCAACTTACTACTTCAAAGACCTAAATCCAAAAGGGTATTTTGCCATTTACTCCCTGCATGACCTTGGCCAAGTGACTCCCCCTCCCTGAGCCTCAGTTTCCTATTCCGCTAAAATGGGCTCGTGGATAATCCCACCCTCAAATGCAGCAGTGATATCCTCTCAGGTCAGGACAGAGCATAGCTCCTCATGAGAGCACGGCGTCACAACTGTCATGTTCACTTCCTCTCTTCCGCTTCCCGGTTCTGGCTAGGACTGCCTGGGTCACTTCCAGGGGCAAGACTTGGGCCTAGGACAAGGCGAGGGGCACTGTGGGAAGTGGGCTCTCTGAATGGCATAGAGTTGGCTTTCCATTTCTCCAGACACATTCAGGGCTCCGGCTCCGCCCACGATGATAATGATCAACACTGTGGCTCCGTAAACATCAGCGTCATCACCAGTGATTCACACCGACAGAGCCTGGCTCCTTGATCCAACTGGAGTCTGGCTCTTCGGAGTCCTGTTCTCTGCTGTTCTCACCCTTGAGGTCTGACTGAATTCCTCACCCTCTTCTCTTGTTATCTATGTCCTTGGCATGTCTTTCTTTCTTTATTTTGAGTTGGAGTCTCACTCTGTCGCCCAGACTGGAGGGCAGTGGCCGCTCCCGGCCACCGCAGCCTCGACCCGCTGGGCTCCGGCGATCCTTCCGCCTCCGCCTTCCGAGTAGCCGGAGTTACAGGTGCGCGCTACCACGCGTGGCTGATTTTTTGATTTATTGTAGAGATGAGGTCTCACTGCCCAGGTGGGTCTCGAACCCGCGGGCTCAGGTCATCCACTCACCTCAGCCTCCCAAAGGCGCGGGATTACAGGCTGAGCCACCGAGCCCGACTTCTTGGCATGTCTTTAGCAAGAATCCTGTGGAGTCAAGTTTGGCAAGAACGCTCCCACCCTGATGTCTCTCCTCTTAGTAATTTTTCACTGATCCCCTCACCCTACTCGCCAGCTACTCATCTCCAGCTGTCTCTGCTGTAGTCAGAGTTGAATTCATCTTCTCCGCCCTTTGCAATAGTCTCTTCTCTGTTGCAATAAATGTCCACTTTTAACAAGTGTTAGAATAATTTTTCTCTTTTTTTGAAGGCAGGGTCTCACTGTGTCACCCAGGCTGGCGTGCAGTGGCACGATCATAGCTCCCTGCAGTCTGGAACTTCTGGACTCAAATGATCCTCCCACCTCAGTCTCCTAAGTAGCTAGGACTACAAGGGTGCATCACTGCACCCGACAATTAAAAAAAATAAATAAATTGGGGCCAGGCATGGTGGCTCACACCTTTAATCCTAGCACTTTGGGAAGCCGAGGTGAGAGGACTGCTTGAGGCCAGGAATTCAAGACCAGCTTGGGCAATACAGTGAGACCCCATCACTATGTTAAAAAAAAAAATTTGGCCAGGCTCGGTGGCTCAGCCTGTAATCCCAGCACTTTGGGAGGCTGAGGCGAATGGATTGCCTGAGCCCATGGGTTCGACACCCACCCAGGCAACTTAGTGAGACCTCATTTCTACAATAAAAAAAAAAATTAGCCGGGCGTGATAGCGCACACCAGTAGTTCTGGCTACTTGGAAGGCTGAAGTGGAAGGATCGCTGGAGTCCAGCAGGTTGAGGCTGTGGTCTGGGTGACAGAGTGAGACTCCAACTCAAAAAAATAAATAAAAAGTCAGGCACATTGGCTCAAGTCTGTAATCCCAGCACTTTTGGAGCCCGTGGGTTCAAGATCAGCCTGGGTAACATGATGAGACCTCGTCTCTACAATAAATCAAAAGAACTAGCCGGGTGTGGTGGTGCCCGTGGTTCCAGTTACTTGGAAAGCTGAGGCGGAAGGATCGCCGGAGCCCAGCAGGTCCAGGCTGCGGTGGCCATGAGCATGCCACTGCACTCCAGCCTGGGGGACAGAGTGAGACTCCCAACTCAAAATTAAAAAACAAATAGGGCCAATAACGGCCTTTCTCGGGCTATTACCATTACTGTGAAGTGGGGAGTGTTCCTATGCCCTTTGAACAGATGGGGAGGACACGGAGGCCTAGCAGCGAGCAGTGGCTAAGCAGGGACGCCACCAAGCTGGGCCTGCCTTCCCTCTCCTGCTCTGCCAGGGACAATTTCTCAGAAGCCACCGTGGGGTGAGAGGCAGAAGCAAACACATGATGCAGGGAAGCCCAGAAGCAGGTCGGGCGACCCTGGGAGTGTGGGCAAGCCCCCAGGGAGATCAGCTAATGAGAAATCATCCAGCTTTGCTGCCTGTGGCCTTTGTCTACCAGCTGGGAGGGGGAGTCAGGAGAGGAGGCTAGCCCTGCCCCAGCCTCCTCCGCATTCCAGATCCGAAACAGAGAAACCAAGAGGGGGCTGAGGAGGGAGCAGTAGATCCCTGCAACCCAGGGCTTTCCCAAGTCGGGCTTTTTGGGACTTCCCGGGGCCCTCAGGTGCTTTTGCCACGTCCCTGTTGGGGCTGCAACTGCGAGCCCCAGGTCCAGAGGGGACAGATGGTGTCTCTTATGGAAGGAAAGCCCTGCATTGAGGGCTCCCCGGGACAGGGAAGAAGACACGATGGAGTGGGGTGCCTAGGGAGGGGTCTTGTGCCTGGAGTGTGAGTCACCTGCTGGGGACTCCAGGGCCAGAAGAGGGAGGCGGGGGTTCTTGGTCTGGGGAAGCGCAGAGACCCTTGCTGGAGAGTGGCCCAGGTCCCGAGGGACGGGGTGGGAGTCTCAGATGGGGGCTCCGGCCCCTTGCTGGGGAACCTCTACCGGGACAAACGTCTTTAGGGTCAGCACCCTGAAAAGTTTGGAAGATTCAGGGTCCTGGCTGGGGCACCAGAGTCAGAGGTGACTGAGGTGTGGTTCCCAAGGGGTGTTTCCGGAAGGTCACCTCTGGAGAGTCATGAGACGCTGGAAGGAATGCCCACTGGGACCTAGAGGTAAGGGCGAGGTCCCAGTCCAGGTGGGGCGCGGGTCTCAGGAGAGGGTCCTGGGTCCTCGTGGAGGTGTCCGAGGACAGCCCTAGCCTAGAGGCGTCCCGAGAGGGGCTGACACGGAGGAACGGGGTCCCAGAGGCTCTCTGCTAAGTACCCTGAGGGCGACCGTAGTCCCAAGGGCACTGAGGATGGTTCCCGCCTAGGAGAGAGGGCTTCTCTCAAGAGTGTGGGTCCCGGGCTCTCGCGGCGGGGTCTGGGGGATCCCGGGCCGAGGGCATTGGATCGGGCCACTCCGTGCGGGCTCCGGGGCCCCGGGGCGCAGGCACGAAGCGGGGCCGCTCCCCGCTGGCTGGGGCGGCGCTCACGTACCCACGGTGGTGACCAGCGTGCTGGCGAAGAAGAGGGCCGAGGCGAAGTCCCAGGCGGGGTCCGAGGCGTTGGCGGTGCCCGGCGCGTT